TCCCACAATGAGATAGTATCTCGCACCAGGTAGAAGAAGGGCTATTATTAACAACAACAACAAAAAGATAATAAATGTTGAAGAGGATGTGGGAAATGGGACACTTCACACTACTGGTAGGAGTGGAAAATGGGTCAGCCTTTGTGGAAAACAGAATTGAAGCTCCTCAAAAAATTAAAGATAGAAATACATACAATCCAATTGTCCGACTTCTCACTATATATCCAAAAGAATTGAAATGAGGCTCTTGAGGAGATAGTTGTAGTCCCTTGCTAATTGCAGCATTAATCATAATAGCCAACACATAGAAACAACCTAAATGTCCAACAACTGATGAATGGATTAAGAAAATTAAATCTGGGCATGGTGGTGCATACCTGTAATTCCAACTATTTGGGAGGTGGAGACCAGGAGGATCACAGTTTTAGGCCATCTTGGGTAAAAAGTTAGTAAGACCTCTATCTTAACCAATAAGCCAGACATGGTGGTACACATCAACCCCATCTAAGCAAGCAGCATAGGCAGGAGGATTGCAGTCTCAGGCTAGCCCTGAACAAAAACATGAGACCCTATCTAAAAAAATAACTAGAGCAAAAAAGAGATGGAGGTGTGGCTCAAGTGCTGGAACACTTGCTTAGCAAGTGTGAGGCCCTTTATTCAAACCCTAGTACTGCCCCAAAAATAAATAAATAAAAAAGAAAATTAGAAAAAAAAAACAAGAATACTATTCAGCCCTTAAAAAATGAAATTCCATCATGTGTGACAACATGAATGGATATAGAGGACATTATTCAAAGTGAAGCAAGCCTGAAATTCTAGCACAAATGCTATATGATGCCACTTCAATCAGGTATGTTATTCAGACTTTTGTTACTATAATAGTTGAAAATATCACCTTAGAATGATGAAAAGCTTATTTTGGCTCAAGGTTTAGGAAATTCGGTGTCTGTGGTGAGGCAGAACGTGGTGGAGAGCACATGGTAGAGCACAGTTGCTCACCTCATGGCTGGATAGCAAAAGAGAGAGAGGAAGGGGCTGGGGGCCAATATCCCCATCCAGAGTATGCTCACCCCCTCATGACCTAACTTCCTCCAAGTAGGCCCCATCTTTCAAGCTTCCATCACCTCCCAACAGTGCCACAGGCTGGTGACCAAGCCATTAACATATGGGTCTTCGGGGGACACTTAAGATGAAACCCCAAGAATGAGGTATCTAAAATAGTCAAAAGCAGAGAGTAACCATGTTGCAGGGGTTGGAGAGGTGTTCAGTGGTTATAAAGTTTCAGTTACTCAAGATAAGTAAGTTATCTAGACCTGCCATACATCACAGCCCCTGTAGTTACCAGTACCATATTGGGAACTTAAAATTAGAAGAGGGCAGGCCTCATGTTAAGTCCTCCTGCTCTGTAGCAACAAAGCCCCCAACATGTATCACAGGAGGTTTAGACTTAGTGCCAAGCATCCTAGTCTATCTGCATATTGACAGTCGACTTTTCTTAAGGCCTTCAGGCCAATGTATGTAAAATTTAAAGGTTCAGAAAGAATGAAAGTTTGAACAGGCTGCTATGTTTGTATGAGATAAGAGGCTTCCTATAACAGATATACAGTCTCTACTTTCTAACATCCAATACTTTATACACTTCCCTTATTCATATCCATGGCTGCAAATTACATGTAGCTTGGTTTGTTCAGTTTTCAATTTCCTTTTTTTTCTTAATAGTTACATTTGTATTTATTATAAATATATGTGGAATTTTGATGATGATTGTGATAACTGCCCAATTGCTGTTTGGTTCCCAAGGTGCTTCGCAGAGCAGTTTTATGGATATGGTCTCATCTAGGACCAGTCTTTAGAGATTCAGTTAGAAGTCTCTAACTGAGAAGTTAGAAGTCTCAGCAAGTGGCTGTGTCACACAGAATGACAGCTACAGTATTCAACTCTGCAAATGATCAGTACTTGTGGTGACAAGCAGTACTGCTGTTGGAAAGACGCAACTTCTCATGTAACTTGGAGTTTTATGCCTGGAGAATGGGAATCAGTAGTCACCCTCTTTCTGCTTCAGACTGTTTCTTGCTTATTGGGCATATGCCAGGCACCCTGCTGAGTGTTCTATATGCAATAGCTAATTCAATCGTCAAGGCAGTCTTCTGAGGAAGGCACTTTTATTATTCCCACTTCAAAGATTGGAAAGCTTAAGACACCAAAGAGAAAAATCCTAGGGACATGCAGCCAGCCAACAGAACAGCTTGAATTTGGGCTCAGGAAAGGTGACTCAGGAGTGTAAGCTTTTCATGCTCTGAAGGGTGTCCTTGAAATTGAGGGGCCAGCTCAGTTTCCTCATGGTAAATTAACTCTGCCCTCTTGACATCAACTTGAACATGTCCTTGAAATCAGTTCTTCCTCTAGGCATTGGCCATTTAGCAACCTCTCATGACCTAGTGGGTCTCCCTAGATATAGACATGACACGCACTCACAAAAATCAACCCAATGTAGTCCATTTTGTCTCATTACTAAATGGACCCTCCATTGCAGAGTTAAAAATCTAGGTATCTTGGGCTGGTGGAGTGGCTCAAATGGTACAGAACCTGCCTTGCAAGTATGAGGCTCTGAGTTCAAATCCTAGTACTACAAAAACAAACAAACAAAAAATTTAGGTATCTGCAATGTAACTAATATCATGGGAGATCACTACTAGAACTTTTAGGGGAAAAAGAAAATTTACTTGAGACAAATGGAATCATCTATTATAAAATGTGCTGCTCTTGATTTCCTAACTGAAGCTAAAACTATTCAATTAAGATGTGACATATGCACTATGTATGTAATGATATATCTATAGGTAAAGGCAGAGTTTTGACTACAAATGTGTCCCTTAAGAGTTGTGGAGATTTTTATAGCTATACACAACTAAATTAATCCTAGAGTTTGATTTTTCTATTCATTTTACTTCTTTTCCCTCTGCATTTCTGCCTACATAGATGGGGGTTTTGGCCATTGTCCTTCGTATGTATGCTTAAAGAAACAAACAAACAAAAAGATTCTGGGGGTTCTGTGTCAATGGCCTACCTCTTTGCATATCGGGATGGTTTGTTTCCTATCCTTTAGGAAAGTCCTTACAATAGAGTAGCTTCTTAGCACTTCAATATTGACCATGTGACCAGCCTCTTCCTGTCTCAGTTCCCTCAAGTGTAAAAACAGGCTTAAATTGTACTCATTTAATAGGGCTGTTGTGTGGAGAAATAAATGAGTAAATACACAGAATGGACTTGACCCAGTGCCTGATACAAAGCTAACACAAACATAAATTATTATCGTTATAAATTATTTACCATGGGGAGGGACTAACTTCCTCATAAAGTATCATCAGGAGCTAGGTGGCTCATGTCTATAATTCCAGCTACTTGAGAGGTAGAGATTAGGAGGATTGAGGTCCAAGGCCAGCTCAAGACAAAAAGCAAGACCCTATCTGTAGAATAGCTAAAGCAGAAAGGGCTGGAGGCAAGGATCAAATGGTAACGCACCTGCCTAAGAGTAAAAGGCCCTGAGTTTTTCTGCCAATTGGGAAAAAAACTCACACTTACATAGGCTTTTAGGGTTGATGGAGAGGAGCTAGGACTTTAAAGACACAAATCCTTTGTTTAACAGCTAGCATGTATTGATTATTTACTAGGTGCCAGCCAGGCAGGCATTGAGCTATGCATATTCTATACATAATCTTATTTAAACTGAACTACGATGCTGCAAATAATTCAAATAACCTACAGAGAAATTATGTAATTTGTCTAAGATCTTCTTTAGAAGGAATTGAGCCTGGATTTGTAAACTGCTGTGCAAGTACGTATTCTTAGGTGCTTAACTAAGCAATGATGCCTCTCACGCTTTAATATCTATTATTGTCCAAAGATTTCCACATGCCTCAACAATTAAAACGAGAAGTTGTTTCAGTGGTTCCAGCTCTCTGCATGCCATGCCACATTTGAAAAAAAGGGGGGAGTGTCACTATTTTTGAATCCAATATAGTTTTAGAGAAAAAAGTCAGTTTATTGCTATTGATTTTTTTTATAAAGATGGATACAAACTTCATCTTATGTCAGATAAACTAAATAATAGGCCCAAGTCTAATCATAGCTACTCAGGAGGCAAAGATCAGGAGGATCAAGGTTCGAAGCCAGCCTGAGTAAACAGTTTGCAAGACCCTATCTCGAAATAAGCCCTTCACAAAAAAAGGGGGCTGATGGAGTGACTCAAAGTGTAGACCCTGAGTTCAAACCCCAGTACCCCCCACACACAAAATAGGCCCAAGAACTAAAATTTATCTTTCCTGATTCCTTGACAATTAAAAAAAAATTTTTTTTTAGCAATGCTTGTAATCCCAGTACTCAGGAAGCAGAGGCAGGAGGACTGTGGGTTGGAAGCCAGTCTGGGCTACATAACAGATCATGTCTCAATAAAATTAAATAGAAATAAAAATAATACCGTAAGATATGTTACAACATTTTACATAGTATTGTTTCGTAATACTTGCAGTTGCGAGCTAGTTACTACACACACCTATAAACTCCATTTAATAGGTCATTTTCTACAAACACTTCCAAGACCAAGAAACAACAGCACATGGAGACGTTCGGAGTCAGGCAAACCTCTGCATTTGGGTTGTCCAGCACTAACCCGAATGGCTGTGTCTTTCTGAACCTGAGTTTTCTGTGACATAGAGACATTTAATGCCATGCTTAAATGAGTAGTGTAAATTAAGGCCTTGGCCCTTAGAAAGCCAGTGTTAACAGTCACTTCATCGTTCTAGATTTCCTCCCTCGGTTGCAAACTAGGTAAAGATGATTAATATTTTTACACACTACGAGTCTTTTTCAAATCTGGGAAGCCGGCACTACTCAATTTTGGCAATTCTGACTCAGAAGGACCATTAAGCCCGCAGGAAGCGCTGGGAGGACCTTCCGTATCCCATCATCCCTGGCGCTGCTCAGCCGCTCTTCCCCCTGGTCTCTATGGTAGCGTCGGCGTCCCCAGCGGCGGTGGCACCCGTGGTTGAAGAAGCGTGCGGGTTCCAACTTTCCTACAGGTCCGCGCAGTGGCTTGGAGGGTCGCGATGTCAGAGAAAAAGCAGCCGGTAGACTTAGGTCTCCTCGAAGAGGACGATGAGTTTGAGGAGTTTCCTGCGGAAGGTAACAGGCCAGGTCCCGGACTCCTGGGCCGCGCGGACGGTGACTCAGCCTCCCGGTGGTGGTGGCGGCGGCAGCGCGGGGCTCGGGCCTGGCGAGGGGCGCCTGCACCTCCTGGCCGGACTTGGGGTGACACCTGGCACTCCGCGGCGGGGCCGGCGGCCGCGCTTCCTCACTGGAAGACCCCAGTGAAGCCGAACCCTAAGCGCGGCCCTTCCCTCCCCAGCGTGGCCACCACCTCCTCGGTCGTGGCTGTACGGCCGTGCTTCCCCCTGCCTTCGGATTAAATTACGTCCTAGTTTTGCCAGTGCTGCTTCTTGTAGGACGTTGCAAATGAAGCTTGTGAAGCAGGACGCGCAGATACTGTTTTCAGTGTTTAATACACATTATTGACTTCTTCCTGCTCCTCACCATATTTGGTCACTTAGAACTAATGTAATTTTAGGCTTTATAAGACTCCTAAAATTTCACCATTTCTGTTAACTTCAAAATTAAAGAGGAGGTTTAGTTTTCTCATTGTAGGTGATGGCCTATAGCTAATATTTGAGTGGCTGTTCTCAAGAAGGGAAGTGCTTTGCTTATATTAACATATTACATTTTCACAATTATAGGAAACAGGCACTGGTATTGGCACTTGTCAGATAAAGAAACAAACGTGGGACGATTAAGAAAAGGCCTTGGTGCCCCACCACTGGCTGGAAACTATGATACTGGAATTGGGGCACCTGCCCTAATTGACACCGAAGCTTTTAACTTGAGCTGTCCTGCCTCTGTTTGTTAGATGGCTTAGGATTTCAAGAATTGGTTGCTTTATGGCTAATTGTTTTGGGTAGGATTCTTAAATATTTGCTACCTTGTAAGAAAAGGGGTTTGGAGGGTATCCTTTCTGAAGGTGATAGGAAGAGACTTGTGGTTAAGGACTGACACAGCTGTTGGCGTCAGCTGTTACCACTTCACTAAAATTGTTCTAAGTTGTATACCCCATCATGATCCCCTTGTGTATAAGACTGCACAGCTGGAGCATTTTTCTGTTTATTTATAGTGTACTCTGTTTTGTTTAGTGAGTTAGTATGCATATGATACAACCTTGTAACCCACCTTAAAGCACTTCTTTTTCAATTATGGAATTCATAACATATTGTGGGAATAGTTACCTTTTGTTTTGGTAGTAGATTTATTGATTCACTTTCAAGGTCGTTCGTAATCCTCCAACAGAGATTATAGTAAAAACTGGCTTATTGAGGGCAGTATCAAGTTCTTACTCAAACTGTATATTCAGGTAGCATTTATTCCTTATTTATTATATACAAGACATACTTTTACATACTTTATATTTATATAGCCTAATATCACCATCCTGAGGAAACAGACTCAAATTTTAAAAAGTAAAAAAATAGTTAGCTGGGCTAAAAAAAAAAATAGTTAATCTTAGCTAGTTGAGAGGCTGAGATCAGGAGAATCAAAGATGGAGGCCAGCCCATGGACATACTTCACAAGACACCCACCCCCGCAGTCTCCAAAATACAGAGCAAAATGGACTGAAGCTGTGACTCAAGAGGTAGAGTGCCTGCTTTGCAAGTGTGGAGCCCTGAATTTAAACTCCATTTCCCACCAAAAAATAAAATTGCCATTAAGTGGCCAAGTCAAGTTCTAAATGGTCTTTCTAACTCCCTATCCAAACTTTATCCCTTAGATTTAGCCTAACACATGAGTTAGTTGAGAATTGATTATTTAGAAGGTTACCACTGTTTACTTGATATGCTAGATTTTTTTTTTCAGCAATTTTCATCAGCTTTTGTAGAATGTGTAGTTTGTTCACTTTCTAAGTTTATGTTTTGAGCACCAGTTCAAGATGTTAGCAGTTATATCGGAAGAAGAAAATCTTGTTGAAGTTAGGAAAAACATAGTTAAGTTTCTGAAGGTAATTCATCCAGGTAATTTTGCATTTAGAATGAGAAACAATATTTGAAATGTCTTTAGGGTTCTCTATGTTTCTTCTCTAGCTTATCATTTAGATAGGTTTTCCTTAATTTGAATTAATGAGATTTTGTTGGATACAAATTAGTTCACTGGGTGAAACTAAATATTTACTAATGAAAACTTCTGGTAAACAGAATATGCTATATTAGGAAGGCATTCATAGTTCTGGACATGATTGATCTTAATATATTTTTGGAGGCTTTGGCATGGTTAGAATTTTGGAACTGGAGAGCAACTTAGTCTAGAGGAGAATTCATTTGTCATCCACCATACAGCTGGGTCATGGTGATAAAATTGGTCTAAAATGGAAATACTCTATAATTTTTTGAAACTTTGAATACTTTTTCATATCAGATAGTGAAAGGATTTAAAAATATTTTTATTAATTTCCTTTCTCTGATAATTAGAAGTGGTTGAGAATAAAAGTGGGAAGAAAACAAGTGGTCCTTTTACATTATTTTCTTCTTCCTGTGTCAGAGTGGAAAGGTTTTGTTTTGCTTTTTTAGAATATCTAAAATGGAATTGAGTTTGCATGCAGGAACAATAGTATTTGCATTTCAGACTCATGAGTTACATTCAGCTGTCCTATCTCTTTAGTTTTCTTTAGAGCCTTTGCTCAGTTTTTCTTTGACTCATGATTTTAACACTTTTGAAGGGTATAGGCCAGTTGTTTTGCATAATGTTCCTTAACTTAGTTTTGCTCATTGTTTCCACATGACTAGATTCAATTTCTGCATCTTGACAGGAGAATCTCACTGTCATGGCACTTTGTTCTCATTGCATCCTATCGAGTAGAACATGATTCTCCTTTATTCTACTATTATTTATTCTGTTTTCACTTTAATTAGCTTATGGAGGTGGTGTCTATCAGACTTTTTCAATATTAGGTTACTCATTTTCCCTTTATAATTCATAGGTATTTTGAGGGAGGGACTTTGAAACTGTGTAAGTATAACATCTAATCATCATCAAACTTTATTTTTTTCCTTTGTTCATAGATTCTGATTCAGTGAGTTATAATTTGTTACTATCATTTACTTTGATCCTCAGATTGTCCCATATTTGAATGTGGACAGCTCCTTCAAGCTGTCTTCTATTTTCTTTTGATATGTCCCCATCATTCGCTGGGCATCCACTAGCATTCTGACACAAGATGTGCCAAGCTAATCTTTTTTTTTTTTTTTTTTTTTCATTTTTCTTTTATTATTCATATGTGCATACAAGGCTTGGTTTATTTCTCCCCCCTGCCCCCACCCCCTCCCTTACCACCCACTCCACCCCCTCCCGCTCCCCCCCTCAATACCCAGCAGAAACTATTTTGCCCTTATCTCTAATTTTGTTGAAGAGAGAGTATAAGCAATAATAGGAAGGAACAAGGGGTTTTGCTGGTTGAGATAAGGATAGCTATACAGGGCATTGACTCACATTGATTTCCTGTGCGTGGGTGTTACCTTCTAGGTTAATTCTTTTTAATCTAACCTTTTCTCTAGTTCCTGGTCCCCTTTTCCTATTGGCCTCAGTTGCTTTAAGGTATCTGCTTTAGTTTCTCTGCATTAAGGGCAACAAATGCTAGCTAGTTTTTTAGGTGTCTTACCTATCCTCACCCCTCCCTTGTGTGCTCTCGCTTTTATCATGTGCTCATAGTCCAATCCCCTTGTTGTGTTTGCCCTTGATCTAATGTCCACATATGAGGGAGAACATACGATTTTTGGTCTTTTGGCCAGGCTAACCTCACTCAGAATGATGTTCTCCAATTCCATCCATTTACCAGCGAATGATAACATTTCGTTCTTCTTCATGGCTGCATAAAATTCCATTGTGTATAGATACCACATTTTCTTAATCCATTCGTCAGTGCTGGGGCATCTTGGCTGTTTCCATAACTTGGCTATTGTGAATAGTGCCGCAATAAACATGGATGTGCAGGTGCCTCTGGAGTAACAGTCTTTTGGGTATATCCCCAAGAGTGGTATTGCTGGATCAAATGGTAGATCGATGTCCAGCTTTTTAAGTAGCCTCCAAATTTTTTTCCAGAGTGGTTGTACTAGTCTACATTCCCACCAACAGTGTAAGAGGGTTCCTTTTTCCCCCGCATCCTCGCCAACACCTGTTGTTGGTGTTGCTGATGATGGCTATTCTAACAGGGGTGAGGTGGAATCTTAGTGTGGTTTTAATTTGCATTTCCTTTATTGCTAGAGATGGTGAGCATTTTTTCATGTGTTTTCTGGCCATTTGAATTTCTTCTTTTGAGAAAGTTCTGTTTAGTTCACATGCCCATTTCTTTATTGGTTCATTAGTTTTGGGAGAATTTAGTTTTTTAAGTTCCCTGTATATTCTGGTTATCAGTCCTTTGTCTGATGTATAATTGGCAAATATTTTCTCCCACTCTGTGGGTGTTCTCTTCAGTTTAGAGACCATTTCTTTTGATGAACAGAAGCTTTTTAGTTTTATGAGGTCCCATTTATCTATGCTATCTCTTAGTTGCTGTGCTGCTGGGGTTTCATTGAGAAAGTTCTTACCTATACCTACTAACTCCAGAGTATTTCCTACTCTTTCTTGTATCAACTTAAGAGTTTGGTCTGATATTAAGATCCTTGATCCATTTTGAGTTAATCTTGGTATAGGGTGATATACATGGATCTAGTTTCAGTTTTTTGCAGACTGCTAACCAGTTTTCCCAGCAGTTTTTGTTGAAGAGGCTGCTATTTCTCCATCGTATATTTTTAGCTCCTTTGTCAAAGATAAGTTGCTTATAGTTGTGTGGCTTCATATCTGGATCCTCTATTCTGTTCCACTGGTCTTCATGTCTGTTTTTGTGCCAGTACCATGCTGTTTTTATTATTATTGCTTTGTAATATAGTTTGAAGTCAGGTATTGTGATACCTCCTGCATTGTTCTTTTGACTGAGTATTGCCTTGGC